AATCGTATGGTTGAGATAAATAAAGATTATGGTAAAGTCATAGCATGAGAGAGAGGAGATTGAAATAATGGAGTCAGACACATTTCATGGTAGCATATTCACTGCCTGGATGGCTATGATTTTATCAGCCAGGTCTGCGCATGGCGTGAGCCAAGGTGAGGTGGGCAAGGCGAGGTTGGGCAGAGACAGCGGCCGCCTATCTACTTAGGGGGCATGATTACAGGTAACCATACATGTCAGGAAGGGGCTGTACAATAGGCGTTCACATCATAGGAGGGGGATATACACTGGGCATAGGCTAACAGGAAGGGGATGAGCTAGGGGCGTACACATGATAGGAAGGGGAGGGACTAGAGATACATGTGATGAGTTGGGTAGACCCTGCTGACACTATCTTGGCAGGGAAATGAAAAGTTTCGACTGTTTGCTTTAGGTGGGGTAGGTTGCCTTCCTCAATGCCACCCGACAAGAGAATCGGTACTGCCTGCTGCCGCCCGTCAGGAGATGGAATTGTGCACTGCTTGCCTTGTGGCCCTCCTGGCACCTCTAGACAGGAGATTTGAAACACGGCCATGTCACAGGGCAGGAGTAGGTGGAAGTTCATTTCTCCACTCAGCCCCACTGGGACTGTAGGTGAATGAGAAATGCAGCTTTTCTGTGTTTGGCTGGAGTAGTATGCCAAATGTTTTCTATTAAGGTCTCCTTTCCCCTTTCTCCTTTGGCTACGGAGAACTGTTTTCATTGGACTTTGATTGTACCTACTGTCAATTCCTTGGATTCCTGGTGACAGTGGGCAAGCATTTGATTGCTAACAAAGGGTTGGTCGTTCACTTTCACCAGCTGCTCCACAGCAGGAATATGGGGCAGTCTGCTTCCATAAAGATTACAGCTACAGAGACTCATTTGGACACTTCTACTCTTTCTCTTATCTGGTCACTAAGAGGATAGACTTGATGGCAATGGTTTGTGGATATAGAAGAGAGAATAAGGAAATCCAGGGAACTTACCACTGTATCTCTTAAGTCTCAGGGTCTGTAAAAATTGATCTTTCTGCCATTCAGAATCCTTTTATGCTTATAGGCCATGCTGTGTCCTGGATTTTTTTTAACTATGGAGGGAGAATTGTCTTACAATAGGGCTTATAATGGGACTATTCCAGCTTGGCTAGCACCAGAAATCCTGGATCATCATCATCTTCCCTTTAAAAATCTTGTATTTCACTGCTGCTTGGAAAAGATCAAAGATTATTGAGTGTGTATTAAATTCTTACTCTTTGATTCACCCAGTTCCTTTCACTTATTGTACACTTTCCTTCATTCTCAGCTTCCAGTATTTTATGTACAAAATTTGCTCTATGACAAGTTTAAAAAACAAACTTTTATTGATATATAATTCACATGCCATACATTTCAATTGTTGGAAAATATTTAAGAGTTGTGCAATCATCACCACATCAAATTTAGAACATTTTGTCTTCACTCTGTACTTATTATTTGCTCCCCTTTTGCCCCCAACCTTCCCTGCCATAACCCTAAGAAACTATTAAATCAGTTACTATATAGATTTACCTATATTGTCTTGGGTTTCATATTAAGAAAAATGTACAACCTCCCAACCCACCAACAACTACAAAATAAAACACAGACCCTAGTTCAAAATAAAGCACAAAAACAAACGATAAGATGTTAAATTTTATGCCAGCTACAATCAACCTTAATTTACTTTCAAGTACACTGTGCCAGGTAGCAAGGCTATTCAGATCACGGATTAATGACTAGAGGGATTCTCCAGAGGCTTAGTCCACTTGGGAATGATGCTAGTGGATTTTGGGCTTTCACGGTCATCCATAGCCGCCTTCAAAGCAGATACTCAAAATTTAAATTCTAATGCTATTCTCTCTTCCAATTTTGTATTTTATTATTTACAATCCTTGGATCATACAGGAACTGACTTTTTCTATCCTTTTACTCAACATCTTCCACATGCTA